CCCCCCCCCCCCGCCCGCCACTCACTTGCCCGTCCTGCCATCCCACAGCTTGATAGACTTGTCAAAGGAGGCGCTGGCGATGACGCGCGAGTCCGCGGAGAAGAGCACCTGGTTGATGAGGGCCTGGTGCCCTGTCATCCGTGCCAGGGGCTTCTTGTCCTCTCCCGGGGACCATAGGAACAGGGTGAAGTCATCTGAGCCAGACACCAGCCTCTCTGGGCCCCGGCCCTGGGGAGGCACAAAGCGCACATGGTCTCAGAGAGGAGAGCCCGACCTCGGCAACGAACACACCACTGACTGCTCAACACCAGCACGGAGTCCAGGACTGGAGAAAGGAGGCTGGTTACTCCCCCCAAAGGGAGACTTCACGCACATGGGACGGGACCATTTCTATGATGTATAATTACAAGAAGAAGCAAGGTACAGAGTGGTGTGTTAAAAAGGGGAAGGAGGGCTTCCCTGGTGGCGCAGTGGTTGAGAGTCCGCCTGCCAATGCAGGGGACGCGGGTTCGTGCCCCGGTCCGTGAAGATCCCACATGCCGCGGAGCGGCTGGGCCCGTGAGCCATGGCCGCTGAGCCTGCGTGTCCGGAGCCTGTGCTGCACAACGGGAGAGGCCACAACAGTGAGAGGCCCGCGTACCGCAAAAAAAAAAAAGGGAAGGATTTTACATGTGGGCTTGTATATGCGTGTGTACCTGTACTGTGTGTAGTGTACACTTATATGTGTATGTGTATACATGATGTCTCTGGCAGGAGACACGAGACACTGGTAGCACTGGATGATCCCAGAAGGCACGGATGAAGGTGCAACAGAGGTGAGAGACTTTCCACCATCTAAAATGGCCCCTACTGCTTTGTGTTCTCTACATTTAAAAAAATTTCTTTTATTCTTTTGGCCATGCCGTGCAGCATGCAGGATCTTAGCTCCCCGACCAGGGATCGAACCCCGGGCCCTTGGCAGTGAGAGCACCGAGTCCTAACCACTGGACCACCAGGGAATTCCCCTTTTTGTTTTCCTTGAACCTTAGACCATGTGAATGTGTTACTGAAACTAAATAAAATAAAAAAGAGAGGTACCTGAGGATTGCGAATAAACAGATAAGCAAACAAAACAAAATGAAATAAAATGATCCCCAGCACATTATGGTTTTTAGGATTGTAAACTAGGATTATCAGAAGAACTTTCCGGAAAAGGTACATTCTGAGCTGGGGCTAGAAGGGAAAAGGGCCTGAGCATCTGCAGTGTTTTGGGGACGAGGAGAAGAAGCGCATAGAGCTGGCGGCGCTGGCAGATACTCACCCGCGCGAGGCTGTAGCGGCGCAGAGCTCTCTCCTTTAACTCCTGCACTGTGTCCAGGTATCGAAGGAGAGAAGGAACAAGGCTGATGAGAAAATGCAACACAAAGTGCAAGTACCCGCCCCCCCAGCCTAGGTCCGCCTCTCACATGTTAAGCTTGAGAACTGGCTCCTTCCCCACCCCCCCACCTCCTGCTCACTCACAGGACCCTCGGAGGTCTTGGGCGTTAACTGAGGCCTCGGCTGGGTCAAAGGCCCCCGTGCGCAGGGCGTAGTCGGTGCTGAGGGCCATGGTGTTCACCCAGTGGCCATGGCCTTGCAGAGTCCGGCACAGCACGCCCTAGGGCGAAGGGAGACAGGTCAGACACACACAGAGCAGTCTCCACCCCTGGGAACGTGCACCCCCAGATCAGCCCCAGAAGATGGGCACTGTGGGACTCAGAAGCAGGGCCCTCATTCACTGTGATCTGAATCAAATCACCCCTCTGGGCTCAAGTCTCTCCTCATTTGTAAAAAAAAGGGTATCAGCCCAGAGCACTGTTTCTGGAAATATGTTTCACAGAAGGGAAATGTCACAAAAAAGGGCTCTAGTCAAATAAGTTTGGGATACGGCAGGTTCAATAAGCCTAAATAGGCTTCCTACAGCAGGAAATTTCCAGAGCCTGGCCATGCTAAGGGGTCCTGGAACCTCCGCTATAATGCAGCACCGAACCATAGGACCCCCGTTCCTGAAGCACTTCCCCAACCACCCAGGAAACAGTGGTCAACCTCCCTGGCCCAAGGTTTCCCCAGGCTGGTTCCGGGCCTCTCCCAGCTCTTACATCATGAGCCCTCCAGACTTTGATGGTGCGGTCCTGGGAGGCGGAGTAGAGAAGCCCGTCCCCTCCCCACCGGAGACAGGTGACTGACTGTGTGTGCCCAGTGAGGATGCGTTCACAGCGGCCCGCAGCCGTGTCCCAGACCCGCACGCTACCGTCCTTGGAGCTGCTGGCCACGTAGCGGCACTCGGGGTTGCTGGAAAGAAAGGGGGACATGCCCTCACTTCTGACCTGGCAATGCCTGTCTTCCAACACTGCCTCCCGATCCCCAGCGCGAAGACCAGGGATAATGTCTCGACAGCTTCCTGACCCCAAGATCTGGCTGCGCTGCAAGGTGGCTCTCAGGCCCCGTGATGAGCACCACCGCCCTCCCCCCGCCCCGCCCGCACAACACAGGTGCAGAAGACCTTCCCCACTGCCTGCCACGCTGTCACTGCCGGTCAGACTGCCTACCCTGTCCCCTCACATAAGACTCCTCTGCACCAAGCAGGGGAGGGCTACGGCTTTGAAGCCCTGGCTCCTCATTCACCCAGCTGTCAGTGTCACTCACGCATGGAGGGGCTCCCAGCTCAGGGCTGTGATCCATTTGCTGTGGCCGGCAAGGGTCCTGCCCACTTGCTTCCCTGTGCTTGGGTCCCACAGGAGAATCTGAAGGACAGCAGCTCACCGAAAATAACCCTCCCCACCCTTCCCCTGGTCCCACCAAGGGTCCCCCGCCCATCGCCCCCACTCACTCCTCCCCGAAGACCCCAGAACCTGATTCTGACCCATCTCGCAGGAAGGGAACCCCAGAATCCCTGCCTAATTACCGTGACCCCCATCTACCTGGCCATTCTTGCAGCCTGAAGCCAGCTTCTTGCCGTCTGGGGACCAGGATATGCTAAGGACCCAGTGTCTGTGTCCTAAGAAAGCAGTGGGGGAGAAAGGGGGACCACACCTTTCTTTACCCCCGTTGCCTAGCAATGCCTGGCACTCTGCAGAAATTCCTTAGCTAGCTGCCGAATAATTGAACGATCGAACAGAAGAGATGAGGCTTCCTAGGCAAAGGGAGAATCCTTCCCAAGTGCTAGGGCCGTGCATCGCCGCACAGATAACACCGCCACTTTCTAGTAGTTCCTTATGTGCTACGTGATATAAAGTTCTTTCACACACGTCAGTCCTACAATTCTCATGACAGCTCTGGAGTATGGGGCAAAGCAAGAAGTATCACCCCATTCTCCAGATGAGAAAACCAAAGCTTAGAAAGGAAGCAAGGCCTACCTACAAGATCACCCAGCTAGTGTGAGGGCCCCAGGCCAGCAGCATCAGCAATGCCTGGGAACTTGAAACGCAAATTTCAGGTCACACCCCAGACCTAAGGAGACAAAATTCTGGGGGTGGGACCCAGAAATCTATATTTTAACAAGCCCTCCAGGTGATTCTGATGCACGTTCAAGTTTGAGAACCACTATGGCGGAGACTGGATTTAAGCCTGGTTCTCCTTGCTACCAGGCAGTTAGCCCCTGCCCACAACCCCACGCTGACTCTTCTGTCCAGTCTCTGCTTGTCTGTAAGTGGCTGGCGGGGCTCAAGGGTAAGGTCTCTACCTAGGAACAGGTGGCCACTAACTGGATGTCAAGGGGCTGCAATGTGCTCTGGGCCTCCTCTCCTCCTCAGGAACTAAAGAGCTGAGTGAATCAGTCACCCGCCACTGAGTTAAAACCCCCTAAGTGGGTAACTGGGTACTGACCCTGGCACGTGAAACGTGGTGTCTCAGTGCTGAGATCCCAGAAGCGCACAGTAGTGTCTCCAGAGCCACTGGCCAGGTACCTGGGGAAGAAGAGAGGCCACCTGACCTCTGCAGTGAGGACAAGGGGTGGGGCACACCGGAAACACTGCACATGTATATCCCTGCTGCCTAGTCAATCATCTTCTGGGAACAGAATCTGGGACTGAAATTTTCTCTTATGAGAAGGAGAAATGTAACACCAATGCCATCTGGGAGAAGACCCCAGGAAGCCATTTCTCTCCTTGTCCTTCCTAACTGGAATGGCCACAATCATAACCAGATTTAAAGCTTCTTACTATCCTCATAGGATTGTGAGAAGCAAATCAACCCTATTTCTCAGGTGAACAACTAACTCAGAGAGAGGTTAAATGACTTGACCAGGTCACATGGCTAGGAAGGGACAGAGGTGAGCTTGCAGCTCAGATCTCCTGAGGTCAAGTCCAGGAAGGGCTCTTCCAAGGCAGGTATCCTTGACCTTTGGGGACAAAACTCCACCGGGGAAGTCCCTTACTTGCAACCTGAGCCCAAAGCTTGGGTCTGTGGTGGGCAGCTGGAGGTCCCATTGAGCATAACTTGGGGGCCCCCCCACCCCCGCCAGCAGCTGCACCCACACTCTCCTCCATGACTCTGCAGCTGTCCTTACTTTCCTGTAGGGCTGAAGGCCACAGAAATGACTGCCTCGCTGTGACCCTCCAAGGAGCTGGTGCAGCGGGTCACAGCACGAACCCTGAAGATAGCCTGTGGCTGGTAGACGATGTCAAGGACCTTCTCTGTCTCCACCGCCTGTGACTCCAGTGTCCTCCCCAGAGACGAGATGATCTCGGCATCATGGACATAGAAAGCCAGTGGCAGGGGATCCTCCTGGAGGACAACAGAAAAGAGAACCCCCCTCATCAAAGGATGGGCAAGGCCACCTCCACCAGGGACCCCCACCCTCCGTGAGCTGTGGGCAGGCAACGCTTCCTACTTTTCAAGCCACCCTGCTTGGGTTACCCCCATCATTCCCCATTCAGCAAGACCTTTTTAATCCTTGAAGAGCGACTGCAAGACACTTACACACCACTTCAAAATCCTGTTTCTGAATCTCACAACCACCCTGGGAAGGAGGCATTAATATTGCTAGATGAAAAAAACAGGCTCAGAGCAACTAAGTGATTAACGCAACGTCCTATTGCTAATGCCTAATTCAGGTTCTTCAGAAAGAAAACTAAAGTCCAGGATTAGGGTTAGTATATAGCATTATGCAGCGTTTTCTAAACCACCAGACCATGCTGCATAATGTGTAAGAAGCATCCAAAAAGCTGACAGAAAAAGGTAGACCCTCTGCTTCACCCCAGGGTCTGGTGTAGTAAGTCTTGGGTGGGGTCCAGGTATTGCATTTTTAAACAGCCTCCCACCCCTCAATAGAGGGCAGCATTCTGATAAACACCGGCTTAGGAGAGCATGAGTTTTGAATCTGACACTTGGCTTCCAACTCCCAATCTACAACCTACTGCGCGGTGCCAGACAAATAACTGAATGGTCTCAGGCAGCACTGTAAAATGGGGATATTAATGACGACGGGAATATAATGAGGAGCTGTGACAAGGAATCACTGTCACGATGCACCCAATGCGTTCAAAACGCGGTCTCTCTCCGCGGGTGAACTCCCGATGGTGGGCGCGTAAAGCGCTCTCACACTGATCACATCTTCCGACCCTCCCCAAGGCAGACGGCACCGCCGGGTTGTTATCACCCCTGTGGGAGAGTAGTGGGGATGTACCGGAGACCTTCGGTCTCCTGATTCCCTGCGTCCCCGACCAGGGAAGCGCCGCCCGCCCTCCGCCCGGAGGAGAGGACACGGGGCCGCCAGGCCCGCCGCTCACCTGGGCCAGCAGCGCGTTGCACACGAGCTGCAACTTGTCCGGGGTGATGTCCACGGGCACGTCGAATGGGGAGCCCAGCAGCTGCCCGCCCTCATCCTGGAACTGCACTAGCAGTCGCTGCACGTCGCGCGTCGCCGCCTCGTCCTGTGTGGACAAGCGCAGCGGGCGTCAGGCACGCCGCCCGGACCGAATGGCCCTCACTTCCGCCTCCCTCCGGCCTCGGGGACCCCGGGCCGAGCGCCCCCGCCCCCAGTCAGGCCCACCCACCGCCACCACCGCCGCCATCCTGCGTCCCCACGTGGAAGGGAAAACTCCGGCGGGACGGAACGCCGCCCCCGTGGTCCAGCGGTGCTGCAATCCGCCACATCGCCCTCTGGTGTTGCGGAGGGGAAGTGTCGCTTCGCGCCTGGTCTCAAATAAATGGATCAAATAAATTAATAATAGTTGATGCGGGGCTTCCCTGGTGGCGCAGTGGTTGAGAGTCCGCCTGCCGATGCAGGGAACACGGGTTCGTGCCCCGGCCCGGGAGGATCCCACATACCGCGGAGCGGCTGGGCCCGTGAGCCATGGCCGCTGAGTCTGCGCATCTGGAGCCTGTGCTCCGCAACGGGAGAGGCCACAGCGGTGAGAGGCCCGCGTACCGCAAAAAAAAAAAAATGCTTGTGGAATAAATTACTGAATCAGGATTTGAATCTAGGGTCCCTTGGATCTCTCTCTGCCAATGGCAGGATCCTTTACCATATTATGTCACTGCTACAGAGAGCCGCCCACAAAGGGACCCGGGGTTGGGGACACCATGAGGGCAGGGAATTCACCCATCCATTCATTCGTTTATTCAGTCAACAAACATATATCAGGGCTGGATTTTGTGTCCAGCAGAGCAGTAGAACTTGTCCAAAGTCACAGAGCTGTGTTTTCAAGGTCACAGAGCTAAGAGCAGAATCTAGTGTGAGTGATCCCACCTATGCTTTTTTTCCTGCAGTATCTTTCTCAGTTTGAAGATATAGGGGAGAGGTTGACAGAATGGTAGGAAGTGAAGCAAAGCATCAGCACAAAGACTTCATTCATTCATCCATTTAGGAACATGCATTGGGCACTGATTCTTCCAGGCTCTGTGCCGGGGGAAAACAAACTGCACGAGATGCTATCCTTGCCCTCTGGGAGGGTGCCCACAGCCCAGGCTCAGAGACACAGAAATGCGGGAGAATTCTGAATCCAAGTAGGGACAACCTCATAAATTTCTCTTAGGAACCCTCAGTCGGATGAGGAGAAACAATTTCTGTCCCAGGGGAGACCCTTTCTGGTGATGAAAACATTGTTGTTCTTTTTTTAATTAAAAAATTTTAATTTAATTAAAATGTTAACATTGAGGTATAGTTGATTTACAATATTACATAAGTTTCAGGTGCACAACATAGTGATTCACAGTTTTGGGTTTTTGTTTTTGTTTTTGTTTTTGTTTTTTGGCCGCGTGGAGCAGCATGCAGGACCTTAGCTCCCTGAACAGGGATCAAACCCATGCCCCCTGCAGTGGGAGCACGGAGTCTTAACCACTGGACTGCCAGGGAAGTCCCTGATTCACAGTTTTTAGTGAATACATAGCTTTTGTCCCAGGAAGACCCCCTTCTGCTGAGGGGGACTCCGCAAGTCCCAGTCAGTTAGGGGGCACAGTTCTTGGTTTCAGGGAATTCCCAGGTTGCCCCAGCTCTCGCTGTGGGAGAAGATTTCAGTCTGGGGGGCGATGAACAGACCCCGTCCTCTGGGAGCTCCCAGTCTGATGGGAGAGAGAGGCTGAATATAGCCACTCCATACAGACGGGGAGGAACCACAGAAGATGTGCAGAGTGGAACAAAGAAACAACCCACTTCCACCAAAGTGAGACAGCAAGTCCATGGGTCTTTCTGAAAAGCAAGGGCATTTTCAGCAGGTGGGAGGGGTAGGGGAGTTGCGGCCAAAGGGCAGAGGGGAAGGAACATTCCTCCTTCTTCTTCCCTCCTCCCTCCAGAAGGGCATTTCTGGATGTCTCCAGTCGGTCTGGGACCTGGGCAGCTGCTCTGTGTGTCCAAGTCTGCCAGCCCCTCAGCTGTCACTCTGCTCCCAAAATAGCAGTGGTGGGGGGGAGGGGAGAGGAGGTTGTTTATCTGGGATGGAGGAGGATAAGCGGCATTAGAGCCATGCCGAGGGAGGGAGGGTGTGCTGGGGGGTTCCCGTCCCTCTGGATCTTTCTCTCACTCTTTGGGGTATGAGTGCCTGAGCCCCAAGGACCGCCCCTGAGTGGGGTGCTGGGGCAGAGGTTAGTCAGAACCTCCACGTGGTAATGACTGTCCAGTCTGGGGAGGGGGAGGGCCCTGAGTATCAGTGACAAACTCCAGGGGCACCTGCCCCTGTGGCCAAATATGGTCTGGAGCCACTAGCAGGGCTGATAAAGTCTCCTGGGTGGGGGCTAGGAGGGGCAGACTGACGCTGGCTGGGGGTTCACACGCACCAGAGCAGCACCCCGGGGAGGACAGACCGAGAACACTGTCCTTGGGAGAAAGTAAGCTGGCCTGGAGGGTTCCTTGGACTGGGGAGGGAGAAGGGGGACCCAGAAATTTTAAGGCCTGCAGTGAGAATTCAGGCCCTTGGTGTGTCTAGCTGGGAGGGAGAGAGAGGGGGGAACAGGGATTTTTTCTTTTTAATTTTATATTGGAGTAGAGTTGGTTAACAATGTTGCCTTAGCTTCAGGTGTACAGCATAGTGATTCAGTTCTGCATATACATGTATCTATTCTTTTTCAGATTCTTTTCCCATTTAGGTTGTTACATAATATTGAGCAGAGTTCCCTGGGAACAGGGTCTCTGAGACCCCTCTCAACTCGGGCCACGCTCCGAGCAAATGCTGTGATGTCCTTCTGGGCAAAGGATTTGCGGGTGCTCCTGGTGGGTCTGTTGCAGGCAGCATCCTCACCTCCCATCCTGGTTGATGGGGCACCTGGTGCTCCAGACCTCAGGCCAGGAACCCAGCCCCGGATCTGGAGGGAGGGGCCGGCCAGACAGAGCTCATCCTGTCCCCGCAGATGGCCGAGGCAGAAGCAGTGCAGCTGAAGGAGGAGGGCAACCGGCATTTCCAGCGCCAGGACTACAAGGCCGCAGCAAAGAGCTATAGCCAAGCCCTGAAGCTGACCAAGGATAAGGCCCTCCTGGCCACGCTCTATCGGAACCGGGCAGCCTGTGGCCTGAAAACGGTCTGGGATGAAGAGGGGCAGGGAGCTGAGGGCCAGGGCTAGGATGCAGGGGTGTGGAGGCAGCCCCCTCATCCTGACGGGCACGCCTATCAACCCAGCCCTCTCACTGGACCCCTCAGGTTGGAGAAGGGTGCCTCCCACTGCTTTCTGGTACCCATTGCCTGACCCAGTCCTCTGGGAGACAGAAATTCACCTATGGAGATAGTTCTCATCCCATGGGAAGCAGCCTCATGGGAAGTGGCATCATGACAGGGGCCTTTCATAGGTTGTTTCGTGGCATTTCAACCGCAGACCGTGAGGTCGCTGCTGCTTCCATGCCCATATCGCAGATAACAAACTCAAGACTCAGAGGAGGGCTCAGTAACTTCCCCAAGATCTCCAGGTAGTTAGTAGCATAGCTGGGTTCAAACCCGAGTTTGCCTGATGCCAAAGCTCGTCCACTTTTCCATGCCCAGTGAGGGGCGCTCCCCTGGCCTCTGACAGTGGCAGCTGCCAGCGAGCCCTCTCTCCTCGCCTCGGGGACCCTCTCTGGCTGTCACTGTGTCGGGCCCACATTAACCACGTTTCCTCCTTCCCCGTTTCTCAGGAGAGCTATGTTCAGGCGGCTTCAGATGCCTCGAGAGGTGAGCCCCCCTCACTCGGGCCTTGCCCTCCTTCCCTCCCCTTCTGCATCCCTGTTTAGTCTAAGATGCTCTCGACACTCCTAGGGATGACCAATTGTATAAACGCCATCCTGGGCATTGTAGGTGGGGCTTCAGATGTACCATCCTTATGTGAAAGGAGAGCTCCAGAAAAGCCTTCCCTAAGTCACGTTTTTACATGTTAAATATGCTGGGGCAGCTTCTTTGCTTAGAAGGTTGCTTCCAGAAATGCTTTTGTCATGGTAAGGACACAGCCAGTTTGTTGGAAGTTTGGATATGTTCATATGGGATGGCGGGGGGAGAGGGCTGGTTCCCATAACCAGGGCATCAGCCTGGTCCACTCTGTGGGGACTGGGCTTCCTGAGGGGAAGACGGAGGCACTATTTCATTCCACAGACACTAGGAGGAATAAACATACGTCAACACTGGCCATGGAGTGCCTCAAGTTCTGAGAGAACTTAGGCTTAAGAGCACGATCAAAATGGGAACACTTCTCCTGGCTGCATTTTTAGGGCTATAATATGCAGAATGAAGGGGATTCTCCTCTGCATAGCTCTGTGTTGGGGTTTGATTTGGTCACTTTTTTTTTTTTTTTTTGCGGTACGCGGGCCTCTCACTGTTGTGGCCTCTCCCATTGCGGAGCACAGGCTCCGGACGCGCAGGCTCAGCGGCCATGGCTCACGGGCCCAGCCGCTCCGCGGTATGTGGGATCCTCCCGGGCCGGGGCACGAACCCGTGTTCCCTGCATCGGCAGGCGGACTCTCAACCACTGCGCCACCAGGGAAGCCCGGTCACTTTTTGGGAGAAACAGAGATAGTCTGGAGTGATTTCAGAAGGGAGGGACCCAGCTGGAAAGGGGACTGGAAACACGTCCTGTGAAGAGCAGGGAAGTGGCAATATTTAGCTCAGAGAAGGAACTCCCAGGTGGGACAGGGAGCTGCCTTCAAATACCTGAAAAGCTGTCACAAGGAAGAAGGATTGGATTTCATCTCACGTGTTCCAGGGCTAGACTCAAGACAAAAGGGCAAAGTTACAGGAAGATATGTTTCAGGTGGGAGGAGGGAAGGGCTCTCCGAAGGAGCTGTCTGCCTTGAGAAGGAAGGAGCTCCCGCACTGCTGGAGGTATACAAGCACCAGCTGGATGAGCCTTTGGCAGGGATCACTGAGCCGAGACTGGAGAGTTAGGAATTAGACAAGATGACCCTTAAGCTCCCTTCCAACCCTGAGACTGTAATTCTTACCACCTCCCTAACAAAGGGGAGCCTTGGACCAGATAGTCTACATGGATGCATACTCTTCAAGGAAGGCACAGAAGCCCTGCAGTTGGGGGGAGCGGTGGGGGAGGGGAAGGTGGTCTGTAGCCTGGCCCCCTGAGGCCTTGCCTGTCCCCCTTGCTAGCCATCGACATCAACTCCTCGGACATCAAGGCTCTCTATCGGCGATGCCAGGCACTGGAGCACCTGGGGAAGTTGGCCCAGGCCTTCAAGGATGTGCAATGCTGTGCCACCCTGGAGCCACGGAACCAGAACTTCCAGGAGACACTGAGGAGGCTCAACACCAGCATCCAGGAGAAGGTGAGCCGGACCCCTGCACATAAGCCTTGGCTGCCTCTCCCCATTCCCAGTAGGGTCCAGTTAGGGGAGCGGGACATCAGGCAGGGCTGGCCTACCTCCACACCCTTGGATGAGTGATCAGAGATGCCGTGATGCTTGTTCGAGGGTGCAAGCCAGCCAGGACTAGAACACCAGTCTTTTAAATTCCAGATGGAGGCCTTTTAAAAAACTGCAAATCAGTATGTCTGCACCATGATCTTCCTCTCTGGGGGGACAAAGGCAGCCAGGAGAAACCTAGGACCTGGGGGAAGGGCATTGCTGGGGAATGGAGGACAGCCAGGAACCAGTAGGAACAGGGAATCTTTTCTAGGAAAGTGGAGTGGGGTCGGGAGAACTTGGACCAGAGTTGAGGAATCCTGCACCCTAGTACTGGCTTAGCTACCGATTTTCTGAGGGACCCCTTGGGGTGTTGCTTTCTCCATTGTAAGAGCGGGAAGGTAACTGATCACGCAGCTCCTTGCTCCAAGACACAGTAACTTCTTTGTGCCTGGGGCAGCCCCATGGTGGGACCACGTCGTACTGTCCAGAGTGCAGACTCAAGGGCTGAGAAAATACAGACTAAGGAGTGATGGAAATAGGTGGCACGGTAGACCAGCAGAAAAAAGCAGTGGGAGGTGCAGACGGAGCTGGCAAGATGGGGGATGATGGATCGGGTTAGGTCGATTTTTGAAAGCTTCAGAGCACTGGGGTTGGGAGAGTGAGGGATGAGACATTCAAAAATAATTATTTTAATTTGCTTGAAAAGTTACTTAGAAACTGCTTCAGGTTTTCGATCCTGGAGATATATTTCTGTTTTAGCCCATATATATATTTTTAAATTTATTTTATTTATTTATTTCTGGCTGCGTTGGGTCTTTGTTGCTGCACGCGGGCTTTCTCTTGTTGCGGCGAGCAGGGGCTACTCTTCATTGCGGTGCGCGGGCTTCTCACTGCGGTGGCTTCTCTTGTTGCGGAGCATGGGCTCTAGGTGCACGGGCTTCAGCAGTTGTGACTCACGGGCTCTAGAGCTCAGGCTCAGTAGTTGTGGCGCACGGGCTTTGTTGATCCGTGCCATGTGGGATCTTCCCGGACCAGGGCTTGACCCCGTGTCCGCTGCATTGGCAGACGGATTCTTAACCATTGCGCCACCAGGGAAGCCCTTTAGCCCATATTAAAATGTAATAGCTAATTGTTTACTAGACTTCAAAACTGGGGTGATGATCCTTTGCCTTCCAAGACTTGTGAAGACCAAATGGGATGGCGAATGTAACCAGACTGTCAGCTTTGTGGGGCAAGGACTTGACTTTGTTCTCCATTCTATACAGTGTCTGACTCGTAGTAGTTGTTCAGTAAATGTTTGTTGAATGAATGAATGATGGAGGGAGACAGGAAGCTATTAATTGAGATGAATTTTATGTGGAGCCAACTGGAATGACGGGGACCCCTGCCTGCCTTCTTCCCCACTCCCTCCTCTCTCCTCAGCTCCGTGTGCAGTTCTCCACAGACTCGAGGGTACAGAAGATGTTTGAGATTCTCCTGGATGGAAACAGTGAAGCTGATAAGCTGGAGAAGGTGGGTGCTGGGCCGGCAGCGGGTGCTCTTGGGACCTGCCAGGTAATTGCACTTCCTCTGCAGACTCTGCTCCTGTGTCTGGGCGGTAACGCAGCCGACAGGTTGCAGGCTAGGGAGGAGGCTCCTTGGAGAAACTAAACAAAATTGATTTTGATATTTTAAAACATTGCATTAAATACAAATTTATTAAATGCATTGCATTTACAAATTTATTAAACTTATTTACATATTACATACAAATTTATTAAATTTATTAAATGCATTGCATTTATCTTGATTACAGAGGTTTTTGGTGCCCCGTAAATTTTGCACCCAAGATGTCTTTCTTGCCTCACCCTACTTTTGGCCCTGAGAAACAATGACACATTAAAGTCATGTTTTATTCCATTTCAAAACATTGCAACAAGTCATTCTGAAATATGAAAATCTTTATTCAGAATACCATCCTCTTAGCCAAATTTGCTGCATTTTTAAAATGTTCCTAGGGACTTCCCTAGTGGTCCAGTGGTTAAGACTGCGCTCCCAACGCAAGGTGCCCGGGTTCAATCCCTGGACAGGGAACTAGATCCCACATGCGTTCCACAACTAAAAGAGTTCGCATGCCACAACTAAGGAGCCCATGTGCCACAACTGAGACCCAGTGCAACCAAATAAATTAATTAATTAAATAAATTTTTAAAAATAAAATGTTTCTAGTCCTTCAGAGGAAAAAAAGAAGAATATCTGAATATTTATAAGAACTTGGCAGACAATGCCTGGGGAATTTTTGTTAGTTTAATGGTCAATAAGTCCATATAATATGCAGCTATCTTTTATAGCAAACTCTTATGAGGACTTGAGTTGTTATAGATGAAAGTAGTTCGAGAAGTACAAAGCCCTTGACTGACAGAGCGATGATGGTTCAGCTCATGCTTGCCTGGGATTCTCTAATCAGCCTCCCTACCTATTTGTCTACCTCCTCCTTTTCCTGCCTCATGAGTTCTTTGCCCAACCCCAGGGTCTCAGGGCCTGTTCAAGGCCTCCTCTCCAGATCTGGGGCCTTTTAAGGAATTTCAATCCTCAGTTGGTTGCCTGTGGTTAAGGAGGGCCGACTGTACTATGCCATTTTATATAAGGGACTTGAGCATACGTGGATTTTGTTATCCGTGGGGGTCCTGGAAAAAATCCCCTGCGGATACTGAGGGATGACTGTATATATATCCTCAAGGTGGAAGGCTTTAGGGTAGGAAGACACTTGAAAACCCAGCTCAACTGTCTATTTTTACTGATAGGAATCTGGGGCCCAGAGACGTGCTATGACTTGCCCAAGGTCACACAGCTAGCATGTGGCAGAATCAGCACTCAAACCCAGGGCTTTCGAATCCCATCTTGTGCTCTCTCTGCCCACAACCTTCAACCTTCCTGAGAACCCCCTGCAACTTCAGATTTCCCTAAACAGATAAACGAACAAACAATGCCAAAACCATATTCGAAGAACTTTTTTTTTTTTTTTTCAGTACGCGGGCCTCTCACTGCTGTGACCTCTCCCGTTGCGGAGCACAGGCTCCGGACGCACAGGCTCAGCGGCCATGGCTCACGGGCCCAGACGCTCCACGGCATGTGGGATCCTCCCGGACCGGGGCACGAACCCATGTCCCCTGCATCAGCAGGCGGACTCTCAACCACTGCGCCACCAGGGAAGCCCCGAAGAACATTTTTAATGGAAAAATAATTTCCCATGTGAAATCACTTCACTTCTGTTAGAAGATAAACTGAGACATATAAAAATTCTAAGAATTTATTTGAGCAAAATCTGTTTGAATTGGGCAGCGTGAAAACAGAAGTGGTTGGGGTACTCCACCGACAGGAGCTAGGAAAAAGACATTTATAGAAAAGAGGTGGAAGCAAAACAAGGGAATTATTTGATTGGCTATTGCTGAAGCAGTTGCATTATTTGGGAAAGGCTTGTTAGCTGTTTGTGACTGGTCATCCTTAAGGTTCGATTTCTTAACCTTGAGGCAATACAGGGTTAGGTTTTGCTTTGTTTTGTGTTTTTTAATTGAAATATAGTTGATTTGCAATGTTGTGTTAATTTCTGCTGTATAGCCAAGTGTGGTTTGGGTTTGCTTACTTAGTCGCTTAGGCATTGAAGCCACCTCCTTGTTTAATTAATTTAACATTTCCCTACCTTTTTAAAGTCCTTATCCACAAGCATATATACACAGGTTTATTTTACCATAAGTGCAATCAGAGTGAACCTGTGATTCTGTTTCTGCTTACCAATGTTTTTTCCAAGCTTCTTCTGAGTCTTTTCATTTATGACTTTAATGGCTTCAATATATTTCATCCAGTTGGTCTTTATTGCAAGTTACTCTGTTTCTTGTTTTGAATTATATTCTTGGGCTATGTTCCCACGAGTAGGATTATAGGGCAAAAGAATATAAAGATGTTTTGAAGACCTAGTCCTTGCACCAGCCCCTGCACTTGGCTCATGGCCAAGGCCTCTGCAGCCAGACTTCCCTCATGACCTTCATTGTTTCCTCCCTCCTTCAGGCAGCCAACAACCTCATTGTTCTCAGCCGTGAGGAAGCAGGGGCCGAGAGGATCTTCCAGAACAACGGTGTGGCCCTGTTGCTGCAGCTTTTGGACACTAAGAGGCCTGAGCTGATGTTGGCTGCAGTACGGACCCTGTCGGGCATGTGTAGTGGCCACCGAGCTAGGGTGAGGGCAGGGGCAGGGTTCGTGGCACGGAGGGCTGCCGGTCTGAGGACCTGGCATTGACCTGGGCTGGGCGTGGCTGGCATGGATAGACCCTGATACAATGTCTAAAGTGTCTCCCCTCAACCTTGGTTGTATGGCCCCAGATTCAACAGAGATTGATCCTCTTATTTTTTCTTTGAGCTGGGAATGGGTCTGACTAAACAAAGATAAGTTTCTTGAAAGTGGTTTATGCGGAAGAGCTGAGTGCAAAGGTTATGATAGTTTACAGTTTTTCATACTAACTCTTCAAAACCCAGTGTGCATTTTACCTCACAAGCACATATCAATGTGAACTCACTGCATTACACGTGTTCAATGCTTCCTGGCAAGTGGCTACTGTATTGGATGGAGCAGCTCTACACCTCTGGAAAGGGGCATGGCTTGTGTCAAGGGCCTTCCCAGGCCACGGGTCCCATGAGGCATTGGCTGCCTGATCTTCTGTCCCTACTGCACGGGGCAGCTATCACCCACTCCCTAACCTGCATGGCAGCTGGAAGGGGAGGGCAGACAGCTGACTGTGCTCCTTGCTGGGGGCGTCTAGGCCACAGCGATTCTCCACGCGGTCCGGATAGACCGAATCTGCAGCCTCATGGCTGTGGAGAATGAAGAGCTGCCTCTGACCGTCTGCAACCTGCTCCAGGCCATCATCGACGCTCTGTCTGGGGAGGACAAGCGAGAGCATCGAGGGAAGGAAGAGGCCCTGGTTCTGGGTAGGAGACAGTTTTCAGCCTTGGTTCAAGGGGGTGGAGGCAAGGAAGTGTCAGTTACCACCTTAGACTGGGCATTCCATGCATGTGGAGGTGGCCTGGTTATATTTTTACATTTATTATTTTCTGATGATAAAAGTAACAGAGGCACAGCCGCATAATTTGCAACAGCTAAAAGGTGGAAGCATCCCAAGTGTCCATCGACGGATGAATGGAGAAACAAAATGTGGTGTCCATCTATACAGTGGAGTATTGTTTGGCCTTAAAAAGGCAGGAAATTCTGACACATGCTACAACATGGAGAAACCTCGAGGACATTACGTTAAGTGAAATAAGCCAGTCACAACAAGACAAATACTGTATGATTCCACGTATATGTGATTTCGAAAACAGTCAAACTCATAGAAACAGAAAGTAGAATGATGGTTGCCAGGGGCGGGGGAGGAGGAAATAAGGAATTGTTTGATGGGATAGAGTTTCAGTTTTGCAAGGTGAAAAAAGTTCTGTGGATGGACTGTGGTGCTGGTTGCACAACAGTGTTTATGTGCTTAATGCCACTGAACTGCATATTTTTAAAGGGTTAAAATGGTAAATTTTATTTTATGCATGTTTTACAACAATTTTTAAAAGTAACAGGGACTTATGGAGAAATGTGGAAAATTTTAGAAATATGTAAAGATGAAAAAAATCCCAACAACCTGTAATCACCCCTCCAGATAACCACTACTATCACTGCCATTTGTATCCTTCCAGTCTTTTTTCTTTTTTCTATATTTTATTTATCTTTAAATTAATTAATTAATTATTTTCTGGGCCTGCGTTGGGTCTTCATTGCTGCGTGAGGGCTTTCTCCAGTTGCTGTGAGTGGGGACTACTCTTCATTGCGGTGCGTGGGCTTCTCATTGCGGTGGCTTCTCTTGTTGCAGAGCACGGGCTCTTGGCGCGCGGGCTTCAGTAGTTGTGGCTCACAGGCTCTAGAGCTCAGGCTCAGTAGTTGTGGCGCACGGGCTTAGTTGCTCTGCAGCATGTGGGATCTTCCCGGACCAGGGATCGAACCCGCGTCCCCTGCATTGGCAGGCGGATTCTTAACCACTGCGCCACCAGGGAAGCCCCACTTCCAGTTTTTCTTCTATCCCTCCATATAAATATCTATTTAACAAAGTTGGGATTCAGCTATGGATATTTTTGTATTTTTCTCCTTTCTGAGCATTATATTACTATTGCATACCGTTTAATATTCTTAAAGAGGATTCCTTTTTACTTGAATAATTATTAATTTAACATTTGTCTCATTCCTGCATATATGCACATACAAACTCAGGCTTCTTCCTGTATATCCAGGTCCTAGACATCATTTTGGAACTTCCTGCTCTGGCTGGGAAGGTCACAGAGGCAGGTTCACTCATAGAAAGCTTGATCTTAAATAATTTCATTACATGCCATTGTATAGATATATCATAACTCACCAATCAGCTCTATATTGTTGGAGATTTAGATTGCCTTTAATTTCATACTTATAAAAAACACTTCAGTAGCTATTCTTAACATAAACCTATGTTTGCATTTGTAATTATTTTCTTGGAACAAATTCCTAGAAATGGGAGTACTAAGTTAAATGCTATGAACATAACTAAAGCTCTTTTACTACCTTACTTTCGAACTCCTTTTGAGAGGGTGGATCAGTTTTTACTCTCACGAAGTGATGATAAGAGTTCCAGCCTCAAATCATTCTCACCAGATTCAAATACTATCATTCTTAAAGATATTTTCCTATTCAGTAGGTAATAATTATCTGTTTGAATTTTAAAAATTTACGAATTAGACATTATTTTTCCTTATCCTTATTAGCCATTTGGATTTCTTTGTCTTCAAATGGTTTGTTCATGTTGTTATCTATTTCCTCTGTTGGAGTATCAGTGTTTTTCTTATTCATTCCTAAGAGCTCTTTGTGTATTAGTAATTAACCTGCTTGGAGTCTTGAATTCTTTTTTTTTTTAATTTTTAAAAAATTTTTTTAATTTTTTATTTTTTTTTGTTAGAAAAAGAACTTTTATTTATTTATTTATTTATTTTTTAACATCTTTATTGGGGTATAATTGCTTTACAATGGTGTGTTAGTTTCTGCTTTATAACAGAGTGAATCATTTATACATATACATATGTTCCCATATCTCTTCCCTCTTTGTCTCCCTCCCTCCCACCCTCCCTATCCCACCCCTCCAGGCAGCCACAAAGAACCGATCCGGTATCCCTGTGCCATGTGGCTGCTTCCCACTGGCTATCTACCTTACATTTGTTAGTATATGTATGTCCATGTCTCTCTCTCGCCCTATCACAGCTCACCCTTCCCCCTCCCCATTGAATTCTTGATGTGGTTCTGACTTACTACGGTAAGGATCCTTTTCTGCATTAGAATTATTGGAGGGTCCAACATGGCTTCACTTGGATGGCTGGTGGTTAACTGGAGATGCTGGCCAGGGTATCTTGGTTTTACTCCTTGTAGCCTCTCTGGTGGGCAGCTTGGGTCTCTATGTAACATGGTGGCTGCATTTTGAATGGACAAGTCCCAACGTGTAAGTGCTTTTTAAGCCTCTGAGTGTGCCGGAAGGTCACATGAGCAATCCAGGGCCAGTGTGGGAGGGGACTCCCCAAGAGAATGAATACTGAGAGGTGTGGTTCATTGGGGGCCACGACTTCCTCCGGAGGGAGTGAGCTGTTGGACATCTCTGCTGAAGAATTCTTCCATATATTGATTTCAAATCTGTCCCCTTGTAATCCCACTCACTTCTGGTCCCAGTTCTGCCCTGTGGAACCTCACAGAATAAGTTTGTTATCTCACGCTCATGACATACTTTTATCTGAAGACAAGCTATCATGTACATTTGTGTCTTTCCGTCACCAGTTAGATAGCCCCATTCCTTCATCATTTATTTATATAACATGGCTTGGAGATCTTTCCTTTTCTACCTGCCTGCCTGCTTGCCTTTGGGCTACAATCTAGAATGAGGACAAAAATCTCCAAGTTCCAGAGAGTTCAGACGGCAAAAGCAGGAAGAGGCATTTGCCTTTAAGATCCCCAGTGGGCAGGGAAGACCTGGCATCCCAGGCAAAGGCTTCAATTTCAGGCTCCCAGCATGTCTGAATCTGCGGGGAGTAAAATGTCTATAAAGGAGTGTCAATTTCCTTTCTGGAAAACAGTTTATTAAATCAGTGTACTAAAAACTGCACGAAGCACCTTTGGATGCCTGCCCATCGTTGCCTGGGAGTGAAGAACTTTCTAAGAACCAGACTGTTCAAGAATGGAATGGGCTGCCATAGAAGTTAGTGTTCAGAGCGGCTGGAGGACCCCTTGGGGGTGTTGTCTAGAGATCTCCCTCCCTTTTTTGGAGTGAGATACTATACTCCCCTGGGAAATTCCAAAATCTGGGAAGCAGTGGATTCAATATTTCCAGAGTCCTTCCGGAAGCCTCTGCCATCCCTGGTCCTAAATACCTGAGACACCCTGGTACTCTCTATTTACCCCTGTCCTCTCCTTCCTCAGACGCCAAGAAGGACATGAAGCAGATCACCAGCCACCTGCTTGACATGCTGGTCAGTAAGAAGGTGTCTGGCCAGGGCAGGGATCAGGCCCTGAACCTGCTCAATAAGAACGTCCCCAGGAAGGATCTCGCCATTCACGACAACTCACGCACCATCTATGTGGTGGATAACGGTGAGGAGGTGGGAGGGTCTGGGGCTCATGCCAGCCTTTCCAGTGGGCACCAGGGTACCAGGCAACCAGCAGAAGGTGGAAGGGGTGCAGCTCTTGTCTGGGAGAAGTCTTCATTTCCAACTGAAAAGCCAGGAAAAGTCATTAGCATATTAGGATCCATTAGGCTGGTGAAGGCGTAGGTCCAGGCTCTGAATTCAGGGCCTGAACACACCCAGAACACACTCAAAAACATCTGGGCGTGGGCTTCCCTGGTGGCGCAGTGGTTGAGAGTCCATCTGCCGATGCAGGAGACACAGGTTCGTGCCCCGGTCCGGGAAGATCCCACATGCAGCGGAGCGGCTGGGCCCATGAGCCACAGCCGCTGAGCCTGCGTGTCCGGATCCTGTGCTCTGCAACGGGAGAGGCCCGCGTACTGCAAACAAACAAACAAACAAACAAACAAAAAACATCTGGGCGGAGTTTCCTGACAAGGGAGGCAAGTGCCAAAAAATCCCAAACAAGACTCCACCACCAAGGGGTAACGTTCCTGAAGTCTCAGGATGGCAAAATACAGGACTTCCAGAGGGAGAAATGGCACCTGTGTACATTATACAAAGTCCAGTAACAATGTGCCAGGAGATAGTCACTAAATTTGTCAGCTCCAGGGCATCACCCCACTCCTAAATCACCTTGTTCAATTGTTCAAGAATCATACCTGTGGCTTTATGATCTGCTGTGATAAATTCTCCCACAGGTATAATGACATATAGACCAGACCTTGTTCTAAAAGGTTCAAGTCAGCTTATAGCAGCTTTACCTTTATTCTCTTTTGATACAGCACTTCCCCTGTTTGGTTTTCACAGATCTCAGCAAAGTTCATGTGTAAGTGCTTAGACTTGAACAAATTACTCTAGTGCCTTAACCCTCCCCCTCTCAACACCCTCCCCCCCATCCCAGTCTGGTCTTCTCTGCACGTATTACAAAGCCTGGGCATTGACAATCGACTTCTCTCTGCGCTAGGATTTAGGCCCAACCACACGGTTTATAGGATGGGGGGGGGTGGGGAGCAGTATCTGAAAACTGGGCTGAAGACGGGTAGGGGAGCCACCAGGCAGGGTAGGGGAACCACCAGGATGTCAAGCCTGAGGTAAGTTTTTGGGTTCAGGGAGGGGCAGACATGGACAAGGAGGAGGTCCAGAGTGTTCTAGCAAAAGAGAATGAGATGCTCAAGGCAAGGGCAGAGTGGAAGGGAAGGGTAGGGGGTGAGGCTGGGGAGGTAGAGCAGGTGCATTTGATGAAGGCCTTTGAGAGCCAGGCTGGGGGCTTTGCGTTGGTTCATCAGGCCCCTTCCAATGACTCTCCAGCCCTCCCAGTGCTTTTGTGTGTGTGTTAAAATACACAGCACAAAATTTACTGCCAGGCTCTTTTATTTTCGATCTTTACATTTTTAAAATCAATTTTTATTGGAATATAGTTGCTTTACAATGTTGTGTTAGTTTCTGCTGTACAGCAAAATGAATCGGCTATGCATATACATGCCAAGCACTTTTAATTCCCTGCCACATCCAGAGTTCCATGCCTCCCAATGTTTATCTAGGATGTTTCCCCTCCCGTTTACCTGTCCCACCCAAGGTCTGACCAGCTCCTAGCCAACCTCTACAACCTGGCTCTGAAATCAAGCTGTTGTCCCCGCAGCAGTGTAGTGTAACAGTTAACATCGTGGGCTTTGAAATCAGACATTGCTGGGAGAGGGTTGCTGCTATGTCACTTGCCAGTTACGTGATCCTGGGCAAGTTACTTGGCTTCTCCATGTCTTTGTTTTCTGCTCTGATCGATGGCGATAATGATTCATACTAACCAGTAGGGTCAATGTTAGGATTAAATGAGATAATGTATAGAAAGCTCTTGGCGCATAGTAAGTGCTCCAAATAACTTGAAACTCTTGCTTTGTTGGAGTGAATCACACCATTTGCGGTGTCACTGTTCTGTCCTTATTTACACCTTATTGTAATCTTTATACATCTGTCTTCCCTTCCCTGTATTGTGAGCTTTCTGATGTCAGGATTGTCTTTTATTTTGGTAGCCAGTAACTAAAAGGTGGTTGTTTATTCGTTCACTTATTCATTCATTTATTCAACAAATACTTAATGGTTGAATTAGCCTGGTGGGTAATAGGAAGCCATTGAAGTTTCTTCAACAGAAGAGAAGAGAAGGGATAATAACCATAAATAGTAAATGTTATATTTACTAAACAAATAATAAATATTTATTGAGTGTCATGATGTGCCTGGAATGGCACTAGGCAGTTTCCATACATTATCTCACTGAATCCTCAAACTCTATGAGGAAGGTAGTATTGTTCCCATTTTACAAAAAAAGAAACTGAAGCCTGGGGAAAAGAGAGCATAAAATAGTATTTGAGGAAGATTATACATCAACCCACAGAATGTTAGCACTGGTAGACTCCTCTGAGATCAAATAGTCCCGACTTTGTAAATGCTGAAAACAGAAGCCCATAGCGGGAGGCTAATTGCTCAGGTAGGGGCAGAGTCAGGGGTAGAACCTGGCTCTCTTGGCCCCAACCCAGTGCCCTTCACGTTGGATAAGCTACATGCTGCCTAAAGAGCTCTGGTGATAAAACAGGACTGAGCGAGAAGGAGCGTTTGTGAGGACAGAGCCCGGCAAGCATTTTACACTTGCTGCCGTCTGTCCTGCAGGCCTGAGGAAGATCCTGAAGGTAGTGGGGCAGGTTCCAGATCTGCCGTCCTGCTTGCCCCTGACTGACAACACCCGAATGCTGGCCTCTATCCTCATCAACAAGCTCTATGACGACCTGCGCTGTGACCCGGAGCGTGATCACTTCCGCAAGATCTGCGAGGAGTACATCACGTGAGTTTCCTGCGGTTTCGAGTAACCGCAAGTGTAGGACTGGTTGCTCTAAAGCCGGTAAAGCGGCAAGGCTGGTGGAAAGGAAAAGTTTGCTTTATTTCGGAGGCTGGAAACCTGGGGGTGGGAGGAGGGCAGACGCCTGTGCAGAGGCTGACTCCCCCCACCGCCCCACCAATCAGGGGGCAAGAGCTTTCATAGACAGAGGGAGGGGGCTACAGGCAGAAACAGCACAGCCAGCTCTGACAGTCATCTTGAAATTAGTCATGCAGTGGTCAGATCAGTATCATCTTGATTGTTTTAGGTACAGTTAGTCTTTAGTTCCAGGGTCGGTTTGTTCCCATTTCTTTGAGGTCGGTTTTTGGAATTGTGGCAGCTGATGTCACGGCTACAACCTGGTCATCATGTAGTTAACCTCTTCCACCTGGTGGAGGTTTCAGTATCTACAAAGCAGCTCACAGGATACGGCTCAGAATATTATCTATAGCCCTTGAGGGGAACTAAAGGCCCTGGACTTTGCTTAATGACTATTTTTATTTGGTCTCCTTTGACTGCTTTCCTCTGTTTCTGCCTTTTCTCACTTCTCTGATTAAACTTGTTTGGCTAAAGGTTTTCCACAGACAAAAGGCAGGCGGAAGACATGGTGGGGGAAGGACCATAGGGTCCTGCTCCGTTTCTGTCGGGCTCTGTATTAGTCATTGATGGCTGTGTAACACATTACCCCCAAATTTAGCAGCTTAAAACAAGAAGTATCATGTGTTATCTCACAATAGGACAGCAGTGTGGCCGAGAGTCGGCTGGGTAGTTCTGGCTTTGGGGCTTACAAATGACAGTCACATGTTGGCCTGGGCTGCCGTCATCCAAAGGCTGGACTGGGGCTGGAAGATCTGCTTCCAAGATGGCGTGCTCAAGTGGCTGGCACATTGGTGCTGGCTCTTGGTGGGAGGCCACGGTTCCTCCCCATGTGGATCTCTCCTCATGGTAGCTGGCTTTCCCCCTCCTTTATTCCAACAATCCTCATATTTGGAAACTATTCAGATTTCTGGGACCCCCACCCCCACCCCATGACCCAGTAGTCTGGGTTGTGGCTCAGGAAGCTGCATGTTTAAAAAGCACCAGGTGAGTCTTGGGAGGGTGAAGACCCTGCCTTCACTCTGCTTTCCTTTCTCTATTCCACGGGTTGGCAAACTTTTCCTGTAAACGGCCAGAGAGTAAGTTTAGGTTTTGTGGGACACGTAGGTCTCTATCACAGTTTTTTTTTTAAAAAAAACCTTTAAAATGTAAAAACTGTTCTCACCTTCCTGGATTTGGGTCCCAGCGAAGTTGGCCCATCCTATAGCTTCTCCTGATCCCGACTTTGTGTCACTTAAAGCTCCTCAGGGCTTCTCCGGTTTTTATCAACCTCAGCTTCAGCATCCGGTAACTATCTCCCAGCCAGTCCCCGTTTGAACGAGACCCCCTCCTCGTCAGCCTGTACATGCTGCCTCTGAGGTCACCTGACACTGAGTGGGTAGGGTCACCGCCTTCAACAAATGGTGCCTGAGGCTGCCACTCCCCTACCCCCTCCAGGGAGGTGCTTCATCAGGGGCCAGGGGCTGGGTGGAGGTTCAGGCACCAGCTGGCATAAGGAACCGGTTTAAAGGGCAGACCCCAACTAATTATGCAAGGCTGGTTCCCCGGCACCGAGTGGGAAGAAGATGAGGCACAGGACACTGATTGTCAGAGCTGGAGGGGCGACCGGAGCTCCCAAGCCTGATCCCTCTCCCCCAGAGGGACTTGCCCAGTTACCCAGCCAGAGGCAGATGTGGGACCAGAGCCCAGGTCTCTGACTCTTGCTCCATGCTCTCTTCTTTCTTTCTTTTTTTTTAAATGATTTTTTCCTTAGCTTTTTTTAAAAATTTTAATTTATTTTATTTTTGGCTGCATTGGGTCTTCATTGCTGCATGTGGGCAGTTGCGGCGAGCAGTATGCGGGCTTCTCATTGCGGTGTGCGGGCAGTGTGTTGCAGTGTGTGGGCTTCTCATTGTGGTGGCTTCTCTTGTTGCGGAGCACGGGCTCTAGGCATGCGGGCTGCAGTAGTTGTGGCACGTGGGCTCAGTAGCTGTGGCTCGTGGGCTCTAGAGCACAGGCTCAGCAGCTGTGATGCACGGGCTTAGTTGCTCTGCGGCATGTGGGATCTTCTCGGACCAGGGCTCGAACCCCCGTCCCCTGCACTGGCAGACGGATTCTTAACTACTGTGCCACCAGGGAAGCCCTGCTCTCTTCTTTCATTTATACACATCTGCATTTGCACTGTGCACATCTGCCCTGATTCCCCACATCAAATCAACCTGGGCAGATCACAGAAGGATCAGAAGGTGTGTCCCCTCTGACGTCCTCATACAGAGATCCTTCCATAGAGTAGATGATAGTAGATTTTGAAAGGAAGGCAGAAACTTCTGGCTCTTCTAGTCTACCCCTCACCCCTGACTCATTAGGGGAAGGGACTGGACCAGACAGAGGATTGACTGGCTCAGGCTGCATCGTGACTCAGCTACATGGCAGAGTCAGGTCGTGCGGCAGGCATCATGGTAGCCCTATTGTGCTGTGGTGGCTGCTGTCCTGTCCCACCAGACACCCCAGATTCTGGGAAGCCTGTTGGCTGACAGCTCTCACCTGTCACCTCTCTTTGGGGACTTGCCTTGGCGAGGACAGCTGTTCACCCTTCTCAGCGCAGCCAGCATCCAATGACTTGTCCCTCACCCCAACTTGGAACAACTTTGAAGGGTGTCTAGGCTCTGGAGCTCTTCGCAAGCTGAGGCTTTGTCACGACCGCATCTCAGTCCAGTGCCTCCCTCCATCCAGGCCTGATTTCTTCCCTTTCCCAACAGGTGTTGATCCCAAGAGCTTTCCCAAGTAAACCTCCTGAGTTTCAGTCCCATCTGAGTGTGCTTCTTGAGGAGCACATCTATTACTTCATGTATCCCCATCGTGACTCTGAGAAGCAGTAGTGCTAGCCTCAGTTTCCAGATCAAGAAGCGGAGGCTCAGAGAGTTTCAGTGAATTGCCCCAGGTTACACAGCACGTGAGTGGTGGATCTAGGATGCAAAAACAAATCTGTCTGTCCCCAAATCTCACACTCCTCCCATTCCCCTCGGCCAGTTCTCTTGACCACGCTGGCCCTCTGTTTTAGGGGCAAGTTTGACCCCCAGGACATGGACAAGAATGTGATTGCCATCCAGACGGTGTCAGGGATCCTGCAGGGCCCCTTTGACCTGGGCAATCAGCTGCTGGGACTGAAAGGAGTTATGGAGATGATGGTGGCTCTGTGCGGCTCAGAGCGTGAAGCGGACCAGCTGGTGGCTGTGGAGGCCCTCATCCATGCCTCCACCAAGCTCAGCCGTGCCACATTCATCATCACCAACGGCGTGTCACTGCTCAAAGAGATCTACAAGACCACCAAAAACGAGAAGATCAAGATCCGCACACTGGTGGTGAGTGCGCTGGGTACCAGACACTGTGCCGGGCATCAGGGACACCAGAATGAATGAGACATGGTCCTTGTCCTTGAGGAGACCACGTCCTAAGCACCCAGATCCACCCACAGGCCCCTGCAGATCGGGGTGATAAGCAGGAGGCTGTGAGAACGTGGATTCAGGATGGGGGACCCTGCCATGTAACCCTAACAATGATCTCCTCGATGCTTTTGAACGACAAACACTGATGAGCTTTTGTCCACCAAGTAGTTTCAGTGCAAACTCCAAAAACTCAGTTTGTTTCCTTAATTGGTTTTTATATAGCACAGTTAAACCTGCTGCATTGTTTCCATTTTCATTTTATAGAAGTAACTTCCTTTTTCTTGACAGCAATTACAGTGAAGATTTGAGTCACTGATCTGTTTGTTTGTGGGGTTTTTTTTTTGGTTCATATCAATTTAAAAAAAACTAATTTTAGCTTCTGCCATTGTGAGTTTTCTCTTATGGAAGATATTTTTTTTTCCTAGCAAGAGTCCAATTTTTCCTGGGCAAAAATCTGCACAGCTGAATCTGCCCCCCAACAAAAATATGATTCCACAGCCAGTTTTTGTGCCATAAGTTTTATCGTTGTGGTTACAGATATGGTTAGTATTATCCTGTGCTGATTTTTCAAAATGACAGACACAAAACATCTACATGGGCAAAATGGTGGGGGAAAAGGGCAAGTTGAAAACCTCCAGCTTTGTGGGCATCTACCCTAACCTGGAAGCCTCAGGGAAGGCATCTCAGAAAGGTGACACCTGCCCTTAGTTCTGTAGGATGCAGAGAGGTTTATCCAGGCAAAGAAAAGGGACAAAGTGTTCCAGCCACAGGGACCCGTGTGAGCAAGGCCTCGTCCCCAGGCCTTGGTGTCTCTGATCCTACACATCTCCCCTCCTCCCCAGGGACTCTGTAAACTTGGCTCTGCGGGCGGCACAGACTATGGTCTCAGGCAGTTTGCAGAAGGGTCGACAGAGAAGCTGGCCAAACAGTGCCGCAAGTAAGGGGGTCCTATTTCCTCAAGCCCACCATCTCCTCTCAGGGATGTGCCCTAGTGGATGCCAGATCCTAAAAAGCCACCCACCTGCTGCCCTGAATTGTTTCACTCTTGCTCCAGTCCCAGCACCCTTGCCTCCCCTCCCCCAGGTGGCTGTGCAACACGTCCACAGACACCCGGACCCGGCGATGGGCAGTGGAGGGCCTGGCATACCTCACGCTGGACGCCGACGTGAAGGATGACTTTGTTCAGGACATCCCTGCCCTGCAGGCCGTGTTGGAGCTGGCCAAGGCAAGTATGGCCCTGGCCTCTGGCCTCAGGATCTGCTGGATTCAGGCTCACAGGGCTGTCCGCTGAGCGTGGGAAATTAGACTCCCCAGTCCTCATCCTGACTCTACCCCCTACCCTTCCTGTAAACCTGGGTTGGTCATTTCCCTCTGTCTGGCCCTCATCTTTCATGACTGTAAAATGGGCTCACAACTCTTCATGCCTTCCAGGCAGTGGGAGGATGAATAAGATGAGGGTATTTTTTTCCTGAGACACCGCCCCTACCCATCCCCCCAGGGAGTTGAGGTTTTTGAGGGACCGAGGGGCAGTACGTGGCCTCTTCTGGGCCCCTCCCTCCTTCCCAGTCCCTCCCAGATGCACTTCCTCCTCTGCTGGGCCACCTCCCCCCGCGCCCCCCTCCCCCCACTCTTTGCCGCCACTAAAGGGTGGAAGTGTGGGAGGGAGTTTCCACCAAAGGGTGTCCAGCTCCCACCCTATCCCACCGCAGTCTGATGGAAAGTCTATGGGACTGGGCTTTTGAAAGGGGCACAAAGCAAAGAGTGCACTGAGAGGACTCCCGTTGGTGCTCTGGGGTGCTGCTGAGGGGAGCAGAGCCTGTGTGAGCAGAGCTGGTTCCTCTCCCTCGGGGCCACGCCAGCCACACTCCTCCCAAACCAGCCTGCCTGTGAGGGAGCCTCTTGGAGGCAGTGGTTTGTTCTCAGGTTTCCTTGCTGCCTGTCCCCTCCTATCCCCCACCTCCTGCCTCCAGACCCCTGACAAGACCGTCCTGTACTCGGTGGCCACCACCCTGGTGAACTGTACCAACAGCTACGACGTCAATGAGGTCATCCCTGAGCTGGTGCAGCTGGCCAAGTTCTCCAAGCAGCACGTGCCCGAGGAGCACCCCAAGGTGGGGAAGGGGATGGCCGGGAGGGGAGCTGTACCACCGGACCGCCAGAGAGGTGGGAAGGACAGTTAATGATGTTCAGGCTCCGTGCCTGTGTGTCTGGGAGCATTTGGTGGAAGAGGCAGAGAAATTGAAGAGGATCATGGTCAGTTTCTCCCACTAGGTGGCACTTGTGTTTTTCTTAGTGTTAATGTTCTGTGGAGGGGGAGGAGGAATCGACGATCTATAGTCAGAGAAACCAAATGGAGCAAGGATGAACATCTTCCAATTTATGTTGTTGATTTCATGGACATCTGACAGTTCGTTGTATTTCATGTTTTCCACATTTATACAAATTTTATTTTCTTGGATATCTGGATTTGGGGATATGGGTGCTAAGTACGAATAATGAGAAGCGGAGGAACGGGGGATCAGGGGCAGCCCAGGTGTCACAAATCCCCTTGGGACCCTCCCCACAATGATTCACTGCACGCAATGGTGAATGTGGTTTGTATATGAATATATATGCATTGTATTTCCAGCCAATAAAACATTTAGATTTTTTTAAAAATGACCAAAGTAATATAACCATGTTGCAAAACAAACTCAAATGTGACAGTAGAGAAAAGAAAACAGCTACTTGCAATTACATCATCTCCCTCTGAGCACTATTTTGGTGTATTGTAACACCTACCAGAGACTCTTTATTTCTGTGCGTTATAAAAAAAATAGTTATAATCAGGGGACCTCCCTGGTGGTCCAGTGGCTAAGACTCTGTGCTCCCAATGCAGGGGACCTGGGTCCGACCCCTGGTCCTGGAACTAGATCCCACATGTTGCAACTAAGAGTTCGCATGTCGAAACTAGAGATCCTACGTGGCTCAACTAAGACCCAGCGCAGCCAAATAAATAAATAATTAATTAATTTAAAAAGAAAATAATAAAAATAATTATAATCAGAATGTAGTTATTATTTTGTACCCAATTTGGGGGAAATACTTTAGATGTTTTCCACACTGCTATGTCGTTCTCTGAATCATTTTTTAAAACTGCATAGGATTTCACGCAGGCAAGGGTGTATAGCATGTTCTGCCGCCATGAAGTTCTAATGTGGCTTCTAGAGATTGCCTCTTCCCAGCTACCCTGAGGATTATCTGTAGAGACTATTCAACCCTGGGGCTGACCCAATCCACTGTTAGGTCAGCTTTATCTGTTCTCTCTCCCCTCCCACCTCTGTTTACCCACCCCGCCCCCATGCATAGCCTAATGGAAAGCCAGCCTTCTCCAAGAAAGATGACATCTAGGTCATCTAGGGTTTTGGATGATCTTCCTTCTCTTTCAGGATTGATTTCCTTGCCATCTTTTCATCTCCCCAGGACAAGAAGGACTTTGTGGACATGCGGGTGAAGCGGCTTCTGAATGCCGGCGTCATCTCAGTGCTGGCCTGCATGGTGAAAGCAGACAATGCCATCCTCACTGACCAGACCAAAGAGTTGCTGGCCAGGTGCGGCTGCAGCAGTTCAGGGCTGGGGTCTGAGAGGCCTGGAGGCAGGAGGCTGGGTGGGGAGATAGAGATGGCGGGGGTGGGGAGTAAATGAGGAGATGAGCCATTAGGGGCCTGAAGAGGAGGCTGACGGGGATCAACACTGAAAAGTGACATGGCGGGCAGGTCATCACAGGGGCAACTTTGCATTGGGAGGAAAGAGGTCACTGTCCATTCTGGTGACCTGGTTCCCAGGCCCTGAAATGCCAAAGGTGAAAGGCACAGTTTCTGTGTAGCCTGACGGGAGGCACACAGGCTCAGTTACCACACGGCACAGCAGGTGCCATGATGGGGGACATACAGAGGGCTGGCTGGAGCACGAGCAGTGGCACCCAACTGGCCAGACTGGAGGGTAGGTGGGTAGGCAGCTAGAAAGGCCTCCTGGAAGATGTAACAACTCAGGGGAACCCTGAAGGAAAAAAAGGAGCCACTCAAATGCAGCAGAAGGGTTCCAGGCAGAGGGAACAGCGTATGCAAAGACCCTGAGGATGGAAGGAGAATGAGTGAATGAGGACGGGGTTCTCCAGGGAAATGTCTGGAGCATGGCGTGCACAGGAGAGAGTGGTGCTAGATAAGACCAGAGAGGACGGCAAGGGCCAGAACATGGTGGTCCTGGGGTGCTTCCATGTGGAAGAGTTTCTCCTGGGTGGTGGGCAGCAGGGAGCCATTTGATATCTCCCTCAACAGGGATGGGGCCGCTGTTTGCAGCTACATCTGGCCTCACTTCCTCCCCAGCCACTTATGTCCAAGGCAGTATCTTCCCAAGGTTAGTTCTGGGGCACGTGCTCACTGGCAGCACTTCCCAGAGTTTCACTGGGCCTGCTGATGCCTGGGAAGTGTGTTCTCATGCACTGAATGTCCTTTATCCTTGCTCTCCAGGGTATTCCTGGCACTGTGTGACAACCCAAAGGACCGAGGTACCATTGTGGCTCAAGGTGGTGGCAAGGTACATTGGGTGGGCTAAGGGGTCCTTGCCATCCTAGAAGGTGCTTCACTGGGGAGAAGCACACTTGTGTATGTGTGTGTAGGTCTGTGTGTATGTGTGTGTATATGTGTCTCTGTCTGTGTGTGTAATTGTGTGTCTGTATGTGTCTCTGTGTGTGTCTCTTCATTTGCGTATGTGTGTGTCTCTTTGCGTGTATGTGTGTGTGCACATTCTTTGCCTGGCCCAAGAAGAATGCACCCTCTGCCCCAACCCGACCTCTGGAATACAGTCATTAAGGTATCTGTGCTGTTGGTGCCTAAGTCTATGAAGTGTCATGGGATTTACTGTGGGATCCCATTTATCCTCCTTGTTACTGGAAGGAACCCTGGTGCAGATAGAGACCGTGGGCTTTGCTATAGAAGGCTTGTCATTGAGTCCTTGCTTGTCCCCTTTTTAGCTGCACAACTTCGGGCAAATTACTTAATCTCCCTGAGCCACAGTTTCCTCGTCTGTAAAATAAGGGAGAACATCACACACTCACTTTGCAGAATGTCACAAGGATTAGAAAAAATACCCTTAAGTGTTGGCTCATAGGAGGTGCTCAGTGAATGGCCACTATTATGATTCGGTTTGACTTAGTCAGAAAGTAAAAAATGATTGATTTATTTTTCCAAAAGCCACGTGAACGTACGGATGGGTGGGGAAGAGGGCAGGCGAAGATCTCCATGTGTGCTGGGAACCAAGGGGAGTGAGGCCATGATTAAGAATTTAACTGTTTTCCGTGATGCTCAAGAGTTGCCTCTGTTACAGAGTCTTCCTGAACTTCTGATGGAACAGACAGCAGTTGAAGAGGGACGCTGGGGAGAGAGCCCTCTGTATATTTGTGACCGAGGAGTGACTGTGCCCTTTCTTGCAGGCCCTGATTCCCCTGGCTTTGGAGGGCACAGACGTGGGCAAGGTGAAGGCAGCCCATGCTCTAGCGAAGATCGCGGCAGTCTCCAATCCGGATATCGCCTTCCCTGGGGAGCGGGTGGGTGATGGGGGCAGTAGGGTGGTAGTGATGGGAGGAGTCTGCTCCCAGGGGCCTTTCCCCTTGCCACCCTACCCCTGGCCTGGGAGGGGGCGTGGTGCTGTCGCAAAGAGGGCCATGAATTGGAGGTGCGTGGATCCCAGGCCTGGCTCTACCTCTGACGAATAAGGCCGTCCTCTTGGAAACTCAGTTATCTCACCTGCGGAAGTAAAGGAAATAATCCCGCCCCTCAGGATCATTGTGAAGATTGAATCAGACAATGGGTGGGCACATGCATTGGAAATTCTAGAGCTGGGCACCTGTAAGTGACTGGGGGGACATGGTCTCCACCTGGCCACTCCTTGATGCCTCCCCCCACAGGTGTACGAGGTAGTGCGGCCCCTTGTGAGTCTCCTCAACACACAGAGGGATGGGCTCCAGAACTATGAGGCTCTCCTAGGCCTCACCAACCTGTCTGAGCGGAGTGACAAACTCCGGTGAGTGGGGCGTAGAGGGAGCAGGGGTGGAGAGAGGTGTCCCATGAAGTGTTGGTGGAAATGTCACAGGTGCCGTGTGTGCTCTTCTCTGAGGACAGGCTTGAAGGCAGTGGGTAAAAATGACCGTGGGAGGGATCTGAGCTATAGCACTTGGAAAGACCACAGTGAATGTGCAAAGCCAAAGGAGACTGGAAAGGCATTTCCTTCTGAAGTAGAAGAAAAGATATCAGGTGGCTGGGTGGATTAAGTGTCCCCACCCATCCCCAGAAGCAGGGCGATGGTGGGATTGGGTTGAAATTCTTTTGACTGCAAGTGGCAGAAAACTCAACTCCAATTGGTTTAAGCATAAAGGGAATTGAATGACTCAGGTCATTAATGACTTATCTGGGATAAGATTCTGGGATAAGATTCAGGTGCGGCTTGATGCAGGGTTACAAAGCTGTCCTAGATCCTACACCTCTCCACCTCTTCTGTCTGTATTGTCTTAATTTTCAGACAGGCTCTTCCCCTCTCTCATGATCACATGAGGGTTGCTCCAGACTTCACGTCTTCTTGGCTTCATCTCCAGCAGGAGAGAGAAAGACATTCCCCAGCAATAATACAAGAGAATCTCCGTCTGGGTGACATGTTCATCCCAGACCCTGTTGCTATGGCCAGGATGCTGTGCTATGTCATTGGACGCCCCTCCTGGAGCTGGGGGTTGGATTACTGCCATCTAAACCATGCTGGCTGAGGATGTGGAATGGCCCTTGGGTGGCCAAAACCCCAAATGCTCATTACAGAGGACTCAGCAGCCTCTCTTCTTCCACCCCTCACACCCTAGGCAGAAGATCTTTAAGGAGAAGGCCTTGCCAGATATTGAGAACTACATGTTTGAGAACCATGACCAGCTGCGGCAGGCAGCCACAGAGTGCATGTGCAACATGGTGGTGAACAAGGAGGTGAGGGGGCTCAGGATGGGAGTGATCAAGGCATGGAGAGTCGGGCCACAGGTCAGGGCCTGGCGCTAGATTGGGGGCTGTTACAGTGGTATTAAGGCATCTGTTTTATTTTTATTTTTTTTTGAGGTACGCGGGCCTCTCACTGTTGTGGCCTCTCCCGTTGCGGAGCACAGGCTCTGGAAGCACAGGCTCAGCAGCCATGGCTCACGGGCCCAGCCGCTCCGTGGCATGTGGGATCTTCCCGGACTGGGGCACGAACCCATGTCCCCCACATCGGCAGGCGGACTCTCAACCACTGCGCCACCAGGGAAGCCCTTAAGGCAACATTTTGTCAAAGAACCCAGGAATCCCTCAGTCTTTCCTAGATGACAGCCTCCCTCCCTATAAGGACCCCAAGAGGAACATAATGCACAAAGGAGACAAAGGAGAATACACAAAGTAATATCATCCCTAGCTGTGGCTTTGATCCCAAAGCTTGGGCTGGATGGTGTAGAAGTCCCATTTCCCCAAGTTATTTACTAAATAATCTCATAGCAAAAAATATATGAGGCCAGGGCCTCTTAGAGGTCAAGAGAGGCTAGACCACTTGCATCTGTTGAAGCTCCACATATATAAAAAAATGAAGAAATGCAAAAACAGTTACAAACGATTTTAGAATATGTTAAATGTTAACATTTAAAGAACGATCGCTGTTTCCACAGAAACTGCAATGCACTATAACTGTGTTCATCACAGAATAATTATAGGATTTGTAAAAATTAAATGAATTCAGAACACATCAATGGCTTCATGGTCTGGTACTGGGATAAATTATCACCATATGATGAATGAATGTCTCCTTCTTTCCATCCTGGCAGAGCACTGCTGTGCCTGTAGGTAGAACCTCATCAGAGGTAACAACAGCATTGAAATCTGAGGCCCTTTGTTAACATGACAACCAGGGCTAGTGGCCGAGTGTGAGACCCACTCTGTTGCCCCTCAGTTCTTAACTCAAGTCTTGGATGTTCTCACTGCTATAGCAGGAAAACCTGATCCATGAAAGCCTTTTAAAATCAAAAGAAATAAAGCTACCACAGTCCACCAGGGAGTTGGCCTGAGGCTGGGCTGGGGGCCTGGCAGCCATGTGGGGGAAAAGAGTGTATCCAAAGACAGTGGAGGGGACAGTGATGGGATGGGGAGCACCAGCGGCCACAACAACCGGAATCAAAATGAACAGTGGTCCCAACAGGACAGAAGTTCATTTCTCGCTCACATCATTTCTTGCTCACATTGGGATCAGGTGGCTCACTTCCAAGCAATGACTTAGGGATGCAGGCATCTTCAATCATCAATAGCTACACCCCCCCCCCTCCAAAAAAAGAACTGTCTCTCCCTCTGCCACCTTGAGAGTGGTCTCCATTCAGATGGGGAATGGGGAGACAGACCACAGGAGAGACCCCTGTAGCGCTCCACCATGGTGGCCTGGAAGTGACACACATTACATCCATTCATGTTCTGTAATGAGAATGAGGTCATGGCCATATTTAGTGCAAGAGATGGGGAATGCAGTTCTTTTGGGGCAGCTGCTTTCCAGTCACACCTGTGTCCCATGAGGGGACTGCGCTATCTCTATACTCTTACCTCTGAGGACCACTGCTCCAGCTTCAGGGAGTTGTAGGTAGAGGTTTATAACCTGGGCAGCTGTGACCTTTGACCCCTCTTGGCGTTCCCCTTCTAGGACACCTCACCCAACAAAATGCCCTTAAATTTAACCAACCAGATTTTACTATAGAGCAGAGGGGTGCAGGGGGGAGGGGAGGTCAGTGTGCTTTCAGACATGTCAGGGCCCTGGGCCCCAGGGTGCTTGGGAAGCCTCATCCCTCACCTGGTGAATGGTACAGCAGCTCCTGAGTACCATGTAAACTACCCAACTGTCTGCTGTTCTTGCCAAGCCTCTGTGCCTTCAGGGACTGCAAAGTCATTTAATGGCAGACCCTGAAGGCCCATCTGTTGTGGAAGAAACAGTCCAGGCTTCCCCAAAGAGAAGTGAAACATGGCTCTTCAGGCAACATCTACCCTTCAGGAGTCTGTGCCTGCCCTTTCCCCAGGGGTGGAGAGCTGAATGCAAACAGAGGCAACAGCGAATGCTATACAAGGAACCCCTTATTCTCTTTAACCTTTTAGCTGGAGGAGTCTGTAGCACTTTCATCTAACTAGTCAGAGAAGACTTCCTGGAGGAGGAGGTGTCATGGGTGAGATGCTCAAAGAAAAGCTCTGAGGGATCTTGGGTCAGAGAATATGGCTCCAGATGCACCTTTCCCTCTCCAGGCTGGGCAGATGGGGGCATTTTTCTCTGAGCTGTGTACCCGCCTCCCATAGGTACAGGAGAGGTTCCTGGCTGATGGGAATGACCGGCTGAAGCTGGTGGTGCTGCTCTGCGGGGAGGATGATGACAAGGTGCAGAATGCGGCTGCGGGGGCCCTGGCCATGCTGACAGCAGCACATAAGAAACTGTGCTTCAAGATGACTCAAGTGGTGAGAGTGGGCCCTAGGGACTCTGGGGAGTCCCCCCACCCCCAGACCACACTGCCCTGTATGATCCTCTGGGGGGAGGCCAGCCCCTGTATCTGTTCCAATCACCTAAAGAGAGGAGAATCTATATGATTCGACCCCCTACACTCATTATTTGGACTCCCTAAGTGTGCTAACTCACTTTGGTGGTGCTTATAAGTCATTACTTAAGAATAATGACAATAATAACAATAGCACTAACTATTGCTGTGGAGCCCCTGAGCTCCCCAAGAGAAGAATGGATGTGGTTGGGTTACCATCCACAGTTTGATGAAGAGGCAGCAGATTCTCTTAAGTTCACGTGATGACCAGACCCTTTGTGGGACTGTGGGCAACTCAGCAGGTATAATGAGAGTGATATTGACATAGCCGCAAACAAGGGGATGAAAAATGAAATTTTCCTTATTTCACCAAACTGAACTTAGTTTGTGGGCATCATATTCACTGATTGTGAAAAATGTAAACATCTCAAAAAAAATGTAAACATCTCAATTCAAATGTATTAAAGCAAGTCTGCTTTACAGGCAGGCTCTTTTAGATAGCCAGCTTAAGGCAGGTGTGTGTGTGTGTGTGTGTGTGTGTGTGTGTGTGGTTGTGTGTGTGTGTTCTCTAAATTCCATGGGGGCTTATGCTGTCCTGGCACCAGGGGAGGGGTCTCTCTCCTAGATGTAGCTCATCCTGCTTTGTCCCTGGCCTTCAACACTTTCCCTAAGGCAAGTTTTTCAAAATTGTAAGGTGTGTAAGAGTCACACGGAGCGCTGGTTAAAACACTTTCCCCAGATATTCTGACTGAGTAGATTGGAGGTGGGGTGCTTCCGGCCTGGGGACCACAGGCTGCTGTCCTAGAGCAGTTTCTGCTGAAGTTACTGGTCACACATTTCTGTCACCAGGCCCCGCAGGGTGCTCTGTGACTCCTCTACTTACTGTGCTCCAGGCGCTGCTCTAAGTGCTTGCACCTATTATGTCATTCCATTCTCCCAACAACCCTGTGCAGTGGGCATGATTATTATTATCCTCACTCACTGATGGTGAAACCGAGCTCAGAAAAGTAATAGCCCAACACCACATAGCCAGTTAGATAGGAGGGGACTGGGATCTTTCAGGATTGCAACCCACTCCTGGCCACTTCTTCCATCTTCCCAAGGGGCTCAGAAATCCTGGCTGCATTCCTGTCCCAGGGAGTGATAGGCACTAGACCCATGATGAATTACGCATCAGCATAAAATCTTTCCCTGAACCCTACCACAGCTAGCTGAACTTTCCTTTCCTTTCCTTGTGGTAGGATACAGTGCAGAGTTTACAAAAGTCTGCTGAGAAGCTCAAAAGAATAATTTGCCTTTTCTTCCTCTCTGTATCTGTCTCCCCATCTGATAGCGGTGTATGTAGAAAGGTATCTCTGCTAACTAGTGGAAGGTAATAGGTCTGAGGAAGCAAAGGGGAAATTGTTGGATTAGTGCCTAAAATCATCATTCCTGTCCACTTCTACTTGATGGGCTCTTACTATGCTCTAGCCATCACGCTAAGCTCTTTTCATGTGTCATACCATTAGATCATCACAGTATTATGAGGTAAGATAACAGATGAGGCTCCTGAGGCTTGGAGAGGTTAAATAATTTAGCTAAGGTCATGCAGTTGGTAAGTGGCTGAGCTGGGACCTGAACACTAGTCTCTCTGACTCCAAAACCCATACTGATAACTATTCTATTCTGTGTCTGTTGAATGTTGTGTCAAGCCTCCTGGTTCTATTCTCAGCTCCATTTCTGTCTCCTGGGGGTGATCAGAGTGGTCTAGAGTCCTGTCTCCCCCATGTACAGTAGTTGGGCTGCTTCACAACTGGGAATGGAGGAGAGAGATGGAGGAGGGGTGGAAGAGAGGATACACTCCAGACTCCAGTGTTAATTCCAGTTGAAGTCGGGGCTGGTGGAGTGCATGCCTAGGGCATGTCTCTAAGGGCACCTGGGTTGGCAGAAGCAGGCGTTGTGCATGCGTCCAGGGTTAGAATCCTCCTTTCTGAACATCCTCCATTCCCATTCCACTCAGGCATGCAGTGGGCCGGTCGGTCCCTTTGCTTCTCAAGATGTTTAAAAATTAAAGGATGTGTGGATGTTTATTCTCTACTATTTCCAGATGTGTGACTATAGCTAAGTTACTTCCTCTCCCTGAACCCCAATTCCTCCACTTATAAAATGAAAAGGACTGGATTATTTCAAGTTCCTTCTAGTTCTTCAATTCCTGCCCTGGTCCTGGTAAGGAGATGGGCATCACCCAGCTAGTCCCAAGGGGCTCAAGTGGACATATGCTGAGTCCCATACAGATAACCAGATGTGTGCTTGCCCTTTCAGAGCTCAGAATCTGGGCCTAGCCAAGGCCTTCTTTGTATCTTGTCCAAAATCTACTTTCTCCGTCCCCCCACCGATTCCTCCAATCCTTCCTTATCCTCTTCCCCACCTTCAGACGACTCAGTGGTTGGAGATACTACAGCGGCTTTGCTTGCATGACCGGCTGTCAGTTCAACACCGGGGCCTGGTCATTGCCTACAACCTGCTGGCGGCTGATGCTGAGCTGGCCAAGAAGCTGGTGGAGAGTGAGTTGCTGGAGATCCTGACTGTGGTGGGCAAACAAGAGCCAGATGAGAAGAGGGCAGCAGTGGTTCAGACAGCTCGGGAATGTCTCATCAAATGCATGGATTATGGCTTCATTAAACCAGTGTCTTAGACAGGGCCCAGAGGGATGCTGGGGCTGCTCCTGTTCTGTGCAGAGTTCTGAGCCAAGAACTCCTGGGTTGTCAGTTCAGCTAGGGATCATAGCAGCGACAATGAAGTCTCCATATAAAAGAAGGACTTGATTGTCCCCTGAGTTGTGAATCTCCCCCTTTGCTCTAGGAAAGTTTGCATGTTTCATTAGCTCTCTTGTTCCTTACATCTGTCATGTTCCCAAAATTCCTAGAATAATTTTCATCTGTGATTAGGAAGACAGGTTGGATAATTCTCTCTGTACCAATTCCAAAGGCCAGGATAATGGGCTGAAGTTCTTAATATTTTGGAAAATGGATTGTGTGGTAAAGTAGGAACTAACAGGTGTGTGAATATAAACGTTAGTGCTGGTGTATCTGGATGCTGATCTGTGCTGGTTTTTATATCCTCTCTCCCATGCTCTTTGAATAAGGCTGCCTAGAACTGCATGTTTCAGCTCTACTGCCCTGTCCCAGCCCCATGTCCATTCCCATCATTCAACTATGATGGAAATACAGTTTATGTTCAAGAGTATGACATGATTTTTGCAATTTGCTTGGGGAAATCTTCTAAGCAAGATGTATGTGATGAATATAAATAAGATCGACTCATAGTACTTTAAGCAAAAAAAAAAAAGAATTCATTGGTTCATATATCTTGTCAATGCAGGGAAAGGTCTGACATTGTTAGAACCAGGGCTCAAATGTTGTCATCAATATCCTTTTCTGTGTGAGGGCTTTTATCTCTCTGTCATCCCCCGTGTTATATCTTGGTTTTAATTTCCTCTAGGTTGGGCTTAATTTCTGGCAAGCTCTTTTCATGTGGTGGGAAAGATAGTGCCAAGAAGCTCCAGACTTCCACGTCTGTTTGTTTTTTTGCCTGTGGTTTGTGGGATCTTAGTTCCCTGACCAGGGATCGAACACTGGCCCTCGGCAGTGAAAGTAAGGTGTCCTAAGCACTGGACCGCCAGGGAATTCCCACATAGTTGTTATAGCTCATAATCATGGAATAGAAGAGAGAAGACCATTCTTAATAACCTGTCAAAATTCCCAGAGATAACTCTGATATGTGTAGCTTGTATCACATTTCCATATATCACATTAACAGCATGAAGAAGAAAAATAATATGATTATTTCAATAGATGCAGGGAAGACATTTGATAAAATTAAACAACTCATGATAAAAAATTCCAGTAAACTAAAATTAGGAGACTTCATTAGTCTGATAAAGATTATCTACATAAAGGCTACAGCCTGAATGATATTTAATGATCCCCCTGAGATTAAGAATGACACATGGGACGTCCCTGGTGGCGCAGTGGTTAAGAATCCTCCTGCCAATGCAGGGGACACAAGTTCAATCCCTGGTCCGGGAAGATCCCACATACCATGGAGCAACTAAGCCTGTGCGCTACAACTACTGAGCCTGTGCTCTAGAGCCCGCGAGCCACAACTACTGAGCCTGTGGCCCACAACTACTGAAGCCCGTGCGCCTAGAGCCCGTGCTCCGCAACGAGAGAAGCCACCGCAATGAGAAGCCCGTGCACCACAATGAAGAGTAGCCCCCACTCACCGCAACTAGAGAAAGCCTGCATGCAGCAACAAAGACCCAGCACAGCCAAAAAAAAAAAAAAAAAAGTAAAACAATACTTGCTATTACCAATTCTATTTGGTTTTGTACTAGAGGTTCAAGCTAGTACAATAAGGCAAGAAAAGGAAATGAAAAGCAGAAAGATTGAAAATCAAGAAATAAAACTTTCAAATTATTCACACAACAGTACTGTACATGTATACATGTACATGTGTACAGAAAACATTTACAGATAAACTCTTAGAAATAATAAGTGAATTTAGATACAAGGTCAATTTACAAAAATTAATTGTATTTCTGTATACCTGTAACAATTAAATGGAAATTAAAATGTAAAAGATGATGCCATTTACAATAACAAAAACTACATCAAATACTTAGGAACAAATCATGTGAAAGATATTGAAGGATTCTACATAGAAAACTATAAGATATTATTGAGAGAAATAAAAGAAAACCTACATAAATGAGAGATATTACCATGTCATGGATTGGATGACTCAATATTAAATTGGGGATGTACATTCTCTCCAAACTGCCATATAGGTTCCATGAAATGCTAATCAAACGTGAGCCTTTTGGGGGACAGACTGATAAGTTATTTCTAAAGTGTATATGAAAATGCAAATAATCCAGAATACTTGAGCAAACTACTTGAACCGGCATGTCATAAAAGAGGCCAATAAGTACATGAAAAGATGCTCAACCTCACTAGTCATCAGGAACATGGAAAATAAAAGTATTATGAGATGCCACTATAGACATTAGAATGGCTAGTATTAAAAACACTGACAAAAATCAAGTGTTGGTGAGAATGTGGAGTAACTGGAATTTTTTTTTTTTTTTTTTTTGTGGTATGCGGGCCTCTCACTGTTGTGGCCTCTCCCGTTGCGGAGCTCAGGCTCCGGACACGCAGGCTCAGCGGTCATGGCTCACGGGCCCAGCCGCTTTGTGGCATGTGGGATCTTCCCAGACCGGGGCACGAACCCATGTCCCCTGCATCAGCAGGCAGACTCTCAACCACTGCGCCACCAGGGAAGCCCTGGAACTCTTATACATTGCAGATGGGAATGTAAATTACTACAACCACCTAAGAAAATGTATTTGGCAGTATCCCTAAAAGTGTTAAGCAGTACCCACTAAAATAGCCAGCAACTCCTAGGTACAGAGTCAACAGAAATACATACTTATGTGTGCCAAAACCCATGTACTATACAATGAAAGAAAACATTTTCAATCACAGCTCCCAAGTGCAAATAACCCCAATGTCCATAGAAAATGGATAAATTGTTCCATCCTCATACAGGAGATGATGATACACCAATGAAAGTGAATAAACTACTGCTACATACAACAATATGGAGATAACTTACATAACATTCAGTGAAAGGAGCTGGACCTAACACCATGTACTGTATAGTGAATGATTCCATTTGTATAGGTTCAAAACCAGGCAAACTAGCCTATGGTATTCAGAGTTGGGATACTATTTACAGTACTTGTAGGGAGAAGGGAGTGGATAGTGATGAGGAGGGACCCTAAGAGAGCATCTAATTTTTGGTCTGGATGTGTTCACTTTCATCAAACTTAGCGATTTATGCACTTTTCTGTATGTTTCATTTTTAGAGACTTAATTTAGAAAGTAAATGTTTTTCTCTTAAGAGTGTGAGGGGGCTTTTCCTGGTGGCGCAGTGGTTGAGAGTCCGCCTGCCGATGCAGGGGACACGGGTTCGTGCCCCAGTCCGGGAAGATCCCACATGCCGCGGAGCGGCTGGGCCCGTGAGCCATGGCCGCTGAGCCTGCGCGTCCAGAGCCTGTGCTCCGCAGCGGGAGAGGCCACAGCAGTGAGGCCCGCGTACCGCAAAAAAAAAAAAGAGTGTGAGGATTACATAAAAGAATGGATCTTAAGTACCTGGTCCGTAGCATATGAATAATCAATTAGTTCCTTTCCCTTCATCTGATTAATATTCCCTGTCCCAACTGATGGATCTGTACTTCAACAGGTCACTTAGGGGAACAGGGGACTGGTGAGTAAGCCAGTTAACATTTGCAAATTCACCCAAGGAATGGCGGACACCTGGCCTCAGTGTGTTTAGGAAACAAGGGTTCTTGGCCGGTGAGCTGGCAGTGATGAAAAGCAATAACATCTGTTCTCCGAGATTCCAAGGCGGAGTGGCCGCAGGGCGCCAGGTGAGAGCCCAGGTTGGAGCTGGGATTGTACTAAACCACCCAGGAGCCCCCACGGTGCTGCTTACTCTCCCAGGGAAGTGTGGGCTCCCATTACATCTCTCTTAGTTCCCCAACCAGGGATGGAATCCTCGTCCCCTGCATTGGAAGAGCAGAGTCTTAACGACTGGACCGCCAAGTAAGTCTCCCCATTACCTCTCTTTGCAGCATACTTCCCTCGCTCTTCGCCTTCTTGGGCCTATTGGAGTGTCTGGGCCGGGCCGTGGCGTGTGAGTCTGGCACATCGCCAGCTCCCAGAAAATAGTGCTTAATTTTGTTTCCGCTGAACC